GTGCAAATGGGACATCTGGTGCTGCCTCCGGTCCCACAAAGACTCTCGCCCACTTCCGTACCCCACATTCACACTCTCAAATCTGAGAACGCTGGAACACACCACCAACAGTGGTATTCACAGACACAAGACCGAGACAGTCAAAGCAAGCAATCAAGTTTTTAGCTGAATCTGGCCTCTGTATGCATCATGGCTAGAACAGCACTGAATTCACACACTTCTGTCATGTTCTGTGCTGATTGCAGGGGAAAAAACAGAAATTCTTTGGATGGACTCAGATATGGTGATGGATGCTTAAAGGGATACTCCACCCCAAAATGTAAATTTTGTCATTAATCACTTACCCCCATGTCGTTCCAAACCCCTAAAAGCTTCGTTCGTCTTTGGAACACAATTTAAGATATTTTGGATGAAAACCGGGAGGCTTGTGACTGTCCCATTGACTACCAAGTAAATTACACTGTCAAGGTCCAGAAAAGTATGAAAAGCATCGTCAGAATAGTCCATCTGCCATCAATATCTTAAATTGTGTTCCGAAGACGAACAAAGCTTTTAGGGGTTTGGAACGACATGGAGGTAAGTGATTAACGACAAAATTTACATTTTGGGGTGGAGTATCCCTTTAACAGAGCTGAGAGTACTACATTCTCACTGGTAGCTGAATGCCTTGTCAAAATTATAAAAAAAACAATCAATAATTGCATTTTTTTACTTTTTACTCTGTATTTCTTTATAATGAAGAAAAAAACTAAATATGCATTCAAGGAGAGAAATAGGTCTTTTTTTTTATATATATATAATTATGATTAAGAATTTATTTAAGAATTTATTTTTTATATATCATGGTGATTAACATATTCAGAAACCATGGTATTTATTTTTATATGATGTATTTATACCAATCCCACGTCACATTTCTTGAAAAGAAAAGAAAAGAAAAGAAAAATTACCAATGGATCTTTTAAAAAAGAAATATGGCCTCCAAATTTTTTAACAAGACCAGTGTAATAGTACTTTCTGCACTTATATGTAAAGCTCATATGGCAGATAAATAAATAAATAAATGCATTGCTACAGTAAATGGCTATGGTATTTCATAGAATATTCAAAACGTTTTTAGTCATAGTAAAGTGCTGCAAAGTGTTTTTTTTTCCTTCAAATATTGGTGTAAATTGTACTATACAAGACTGACTGTAAGAGCATGATACTACAGAAGTCTGTGTTGTTGAACTTTACAAAAACAAACAACATCATTGGTACGGTTTTGTACCTCCAATCTATTTTTGCAGGGTAGCTAGAGGTATAACTATTTTCTTTCTAGCCTGTTTAATGAATGCAGGCTACCACAAACAGTGCTTTAATATCAGGTGCCACACCAGTGATTTGATATCATATGCATCTATATTGCAAACATACATCACAAAATCATCTAAACCTGCTCAACCGAATCCTTTAAAATTCAAAACAATATAATAAAATCCAACCTGCTTTCACTTCCACTCTACTTTGAATTCACTCAAGAGAAGTTCATGAAATCTGGTCACCCGCTGTTCAGCTCTGAAACGTTTGCTTTATGTTTTAGCCACGTAAACAGATATGCAGTGATAATAGAGGAGAAGTGTTTTGTTTTGTTTTGTTCTTAAATGGCCATTTCTCTTAGGATCATAACTGGACCAGAAATAAAACACTCATATAATCCTAAAAGAGTCAATCTCTTTCCTTTGTACATCAAACGAATATGCACTACAAATAAAGCCAAATAATACAGATGTAAATTAATAAAGATAATTAAATGCATGTATACGCAAATTAACTTAAGACTCGGTGAACTGCATTTGAACTTTCAAAGCCACATGCAGGCTACAGCAGAAAAAGAAACTTTCCTGAAGGCATACACAAGTACACCCAGTATAATAAGCCAATATGTGATACACATCAAAATATGAACAATCAACAAAAACCTTAAAGCTTATAACATGCACACAGCCCTGCAGCGTGACAGTGGAAGGGGGTTGGAAGGAGTAGTGGTTGGTAAAGTGTGAAGGTGTGAACAGTTAGAGTGCTGTAAATCAGAGCTCACTCAGACTAAACACAACAACCAAAAAAAGATGAAAGACGGTCTATAATGTATCAGAAAAACCACGTTCACACCTTAAAAATGGTCCATGTGAAAATCATGTGATTTAAATAACGGCCTACTCAAATACCAATACACCACTGAGATAAATGGTTTTAAACTTTGGTGGTGCTGTGCGGTTTTTAAAAAAGTATGTTTGACCTTGAAATATGTTTTCCACTCTAAATAAAATAAATAAATGCATACATACACTACCATTCAAAAGTTTGGAGTCAGTAAGTTTTTTGTTTGTTTGTTTGTTTTCAAAAGCAGTCTCTTACTGAATATATTTGATAATACAGTAAAATAAATAAATAAAATTGTGAAATTATTGCATCTTAAAATAAATGTTTTCTATTTTAATATAATATATTAATATAACTTTACATTTTAATTTATTTCCGTTGAATCCATTAATCCAGTCCCAGTGTCACATGATCCATCAGAAATCTTTCTAATATGTTGATTTGGTGCTCAGGTAAGTACATTTCTTATTATTATCAATGTTGAAAACAGCTGTGCTGTGATCATTTTTATTTAGGATTCTTTGATGAATAGGAAGTTCAAGAAAAGCATTTATTTGAAATATACATCTTTTGTAACATTATATTACTGTCACTTTTGGTAAATTTAATGCATCCTTGCTGAACAAAAATTCAATCAATCAATCAACAAACAAACAAAATAAATAAATAATATTGAGCCCAAATATTTAAAAGGTAGCGTAAATAAATAAATCAATACTCAAAGATGTTCTATAATATTGATTAATTGCATACATCATTTCTAAAACTGATTTGTAAAGATAACACAATATCACATTTTTACGTCCTTTTTTTTTTTTTTATTAATTATCAACATTACCTCTCCAAGCGCTTCATATCTTTTCTGGTTCCATCTATGCAGGTCCTCTTTATAGTTGAAGACAAATGGCTCCCCTGTGTGTATGTGTCTCAACTGACCATCTACAGGAAAGGGGGAAAAAAAATACATAACTGTATAATTTTGTAATAAAATCATAAAAAGTGATGCCTTTAAGAGCTTAAGAATACCTAAATTTGGTTTTGTGTAGAAGGGCTTCCATAAACAAACAGTTTATAACCCATTAAGAAAGACGGTCCACGGCATTTGCTGCTTGGGTCTGAGACTGGACGCTATTAATTTTTTATTATCTTTAACCTCCCTATAACATTTTTCCCACCGTTCCACTTCAACAGCAGATGAAGGGAATATTAAGCACAATATTAGTGCAGAGTATCTTGAAGTGGAGCGTGAGTGATGGCATGAAGCCAAAGCCTTTGTGAGCCAACAAAAAAAAGAATGTTTTCCAACATAAAAGTAAGACCTCTTTGATTGGCCATGGCACACATGAAAGCCTTGTTGTTTTCACAGCAAGGGCACAACATTGGCAGGCTTGAACTCAAGTGAATCACTCTTTACCTTCACATTCACCAACCATTTTGCACCTGCAGTTTGAGGAGCATCAAACACCTCAGCCAAACCTATTCTCAATGAGTAGTTGGGATCCATTGAAACACTGAAAGCCTTAGTATATGAGGCCTTGAGGGCCGTCCATAGTCCACACACAGCCTGCAGAAGTCCTGTCAGGCTGTGACCTTCAGTTCAGAACCTCAGGCCTGCTTGATGTGCATCATTCCCCTTCATGCAATTAAATACGTTTGGCTGGCGTCCCCCCATCTGGCAGGTACAAGCCCTGCGAACGGCTAACGCTTTGCCTGTCCCCCTTACTTCGGCCTTCTGGGACGTCTGGCAGGCCTTCCTCAGACAGCTGGTGCTGCAATAGCGGTCTCTCCGCCACTGTACCTCAAGCCACCAGAGATCTGAGAGCGTGCGTGAGTGTGCCTGGACCGCTGCAACTGTTCCCTCCTATGAGCATCATTTGAGGGGCTCGTTTGAGAGCGGGCCAGCCGACTTCATTCAAAGTGACCCACTTGAATGCCACTGTTCTGCCAAGGCTGGACAATGAGGCCTGGCTTTTGCCAAGTACTGATGCTGCTAAACAGCTGCTGAGGTGGATGAGGTAAACAACAACACCCTGCTTGGTGAGGACTAATGGAGTTTTCAGTGGAAGGGCTGAATGACTGACATATATGCAATCCCATACACTTTTTGGACAACATTTGTTTCTTAATTAATCAATGTATACTATACTATATTGTAGTACTGACACACAACATTCATCCAGCTCAACCATGTAACCCTGCTCCCTACGTTAGTGTCATTAAAAAATAACTTTCTTTCATTTAAAGGCAAAATAAGTCGATCAGAAACCATATATTGACATTTGGTCCCAAACCAGCTAGCCCCTTGTGAGTGAGAGCCAGACTTGAAACATTGCTACCCACAGTTACTTTTAAATATTTAAAATTTAAAGCATTTATTAACTGTATTTAATTGTATATATTGTATATCAATGCATATTATTACATGTTATATGGTACAAAAGTGTTTTTACAATACCTTACAATGGCATGTTTTATACATTACTGGTCAAAAAATTGGGTTGCAATTAATAGGTTAATTTATTTTAAAATACAATTTATTGTATTTATTATTGATCCTTCCAAAATCACTCTAATATGCTGAGTTGGTGATTTGGTTATTAGTATCCATGTTAAAAACAATTGTGATGCTTAATATTTTTGTGGAAACTATGATACATGCTACAAGATTATTTGATAAACAGAAAGTTCAAAATAACAGCAATTATATGAAATGAAATAGAAATATTTTGTAACAATACTGTTTTTACACTTTTTATCAACTTAATGCATCCTTGCAGAGTAAAAGCATTCATTTATTAATCAATTAAAACAAAATAAGACAAAACAAAACAAAACAAAATAAAATAATTTCTTACATTCTTACAGATCCCAAATTTATGAAAGGTACTCCCCTTACTTTTTGTAAGGGCACCAAACATTCCTATTAATACAATTCTATTCCACCAAACAATACAACACTGAATAACATAAACATAGAAACTGGTTTGCAACATTTCTGAAAGGATTTTTAAGAAAGATAGACCCATCTATTCTACTGTTGACACAGAGGAACAATGAATAGTGACCTCTCTGATTGCCAATGCGTTAAGTTAAAATACTCAAAGCATACACACTTAACCCAAATAGCCTAGGGGCCTCATACTTTCACACACTTAACCCTAGCCTAGTGCATAGCTCCACAAAAAGAAAAACATCTTTGAAGATAAAAGATTGCATAAGCACTCTCATTCCCCTCATTCTCAAAGCTCCGGCACTTTTTGACAGTTAGCAGGTGATAAATCCAACATGGCTAACTCGGAGAGTATTACACTATTCGCTTTCATCGTTAGCGGTTCAACATCATGTACTACTAAAAGGCTGTATATCAACAATGAACTCCGAAAGCATGGCCGCTCCTTTGAGATAGGATGGGAAAGAGAATTAGAGAAAGAATGAGAGAGACAGTGGAAGGGGAGGGAGGGAGAGAGAGACTGAGAGAGAGAATTGAGATAGCATGCGCTA